CTAGTAGCAATGGCCTCCAACCTAAGAGCAATGGCCTCCAACCTAATGGCAATGGCCTCCAACCTAGTAGCAATGGCCTCCAACCTAATAACGATGGCCTCCAACCTAATAGCAAGGGCCTCCAACCTAGTAGCAATGGCCTCCAACCCAGTAGGGATGGCCTCGCCTCCAACCTAATAGCGATGGCCTCCAACCTAGTAGCGATGGCCTCCAACCTAATAGCAATGTCCTCCAACCTAATAGCAATGGCCTCCAACCTAGTAGCAAAGGCCTCAAACCTAATAGCAATGGCCTCCAACCCAATAGCAATGGCCTCCAACCTAGTAGCAATGGCCAGTAGCAATGGCCTCAAACCTAATAGCAATGGCCTCCAACCTAGTAGCAATGGCCTCCAACCTAATAGCAATGGCCTCCAACCTAGTAGCGATGGCCTCCAACCTAATAGCAATGGGCTCCAACCTAATAGCAATGGCCTCCAACCCAATAGCGAGACCTTGTTTGTCAGAGGCACTGAAATGACATACCATCACATATACTCAAATTCATCACCTATGTATGCACACGGCACAGTTCAGGAAGACACGGTTAGGAGTTCCTTTTCCTCCAAATGTTTTTGCTGCCGTTCTGGTTTTGTGGTAGGGGTGCGGCATGGGTGTTTGTGTAAAGTAAAACGTGTGCACCTGTGAGGCAACCTCCTGAGCTTGAGGTGGGGGTGGGAAGTCAGCGGAGGTTGTCAGAGATGTCAGAGATTGGGATCCGATGGATATCTTCAAATTCCTTTTCTCCTTTCTCCTTTCACACCTGTTGGTCACGTTCTACCTGATCTCTTGCGGTGGCCTCAATGTTAGCGAAGTACTGATGAGTTGGTCTCTTCCCATCCAGCCATCTCCAAGCGTTGCCAATGCTCAGATAGAGGCCATCGGATGGGTTGAATGGCTCACAATAGCTCCATCCTTTTAGGTCTTTTACTATTTTATGCTTCTCTCACATCCGTCCAACTTGTTAGATCAACTGAGTGAACTGACTGCCGTTTAAAGGTGAGACTGCACCGCTTGACATGGCTTGAAGGGACTGGGCTTCGCAGGCTGAGGTGCCGGCCAAGAGACCACGAGGTGCTGAGCTTGAGACAAGACAGTCACTCACTGCGGAGGAAGATGTTGATGGCCCACACTGAGCACTCGGTAGACCTCGAGATGCCTTTTTTTAACTTTAAGAGCACAGATAGAGTTTATGGCCCAGATAGGTGCAGAAAGCATTCTTGTTACTAGTAGCAAGAATGTTCCTAGTAGTAATGCCAGGAGCGCCCCTAGTAGCGTCTTGCTACGTTCGTAGCGATGCCCTTTGTTACGTTCGTAGCGATGCACTTGCTACGTTCGTAGCTGTGAAACATGCAGTTTTTCTTTGCCCAGGTTCTTTGGCTCGGGCATATGACCCTTGACTCTCGGAAAACGGGATGAGCGTGCTGGCACTGATGGCCAAGCATCACATGGTTCGGGGGGAACCAAAGGCCGATTTGCTCAATAGGTGAAGCAGGAATCTGAAAGTGTTGTGTTGTGAATCTCGTTGATCTGAGTGTCAGCTTCACATGCTTAATGAATTCAACAAGTGATTTATGTGTGCCTTGTTCCGCTGGAAGCATTGGCTCGCGCAAAGTTTCGCGCGCAAAGTTTCGGCCAGAATGGCCTTTCCACTCCTTCGCCAGGCCGGATTTGACAACTGCCCCGTTGGTTTTGCCGTTGTGAAGAGTCTTAACAGAGTCTTTTCTCAAATGAACATTGGGAAAACCTCACTCAGTTGTGAGTACGATCTGAGCCAAGACCAGGTACTCTAGTTCGAGCGCCATCGTCCCAACAACCGCAGTTTGATCTCTGAAGAAAACTGATGTGCCAATTCCTTCGTTCTGCGGACACGAAGAACCCGCCGTGCCAGCATGTGCCAGCCGTGTTCCGTTTCCACAGCCGTGACGAACCCCATCTCGGTCCTCGAGGTGCGGCCCGTGCCTCGCTTGTGCAGACAGGCCAACGGCACGGGTCGGATGTGATGGGTTGATGGGTTTTAAAGTGTGGATTGCTGGTGGAAGTCTTGGAAGTTCTACTAGGAACATCTAGGAACAAGGTTCGCTACTAGGGGCTCCTGGCATCGCTACTAGGAGCAAGGTTCGCTACTAGGGGCTCCTAGGAACAAGGTTCGCTACTAGCTCCTGGCTTTTGGGGCCGTTGTGAGCTGGAGAAGCCTTCCTCTTGCCTCTTGCACATCCAAGTGTCAAATCAGCAAAGCCATCCATTTGTGTGGATACATCTAAGCCTGCCAAGGGCTGAAACTATTGCAAATAGCGGTAATAATATGATATAGTATGTACTGTAGTCGTTTTTCCGGGGCACCATAGCCAAAGAAATGTGGTGTGGTGATGCATCTAAGCTGCACAGAATACCACAGAATCAGGATCCGACAACTCGCTCCGGGTCGTGTGTTCCAACGTGTTGCAGGCATGTTTTTGGAACCAAGAAGGTCTTGAAAGGTGCAATCTTGGTGCAATCTTCCAAGCAACAGCGATGACCTTGGTCTCATTTGAGGACGTTTCTCTAACTAAGGGACGCTCTTAGGGTGGCCGCAAGTCGCTTGGAGGCCATCGCTAACGGCCCGGCCCGGCCCTCCGAAGCGGGTGCCCTGCTGCGACGGTGACGCTCGCTCGACGGCTCGACGTCTTGCGAGGTGTTCTCTCGGGGCCTTCACCTCTCCAGACCACGTTCCAAGGAACGGCGGACCGTCGGAATCGGATCGGTGTAGGGTTTGGCATGTGTAGGTTTCGTTTCATAGCTTGAAACGAAGGTTTTGGCTCATGGAAAGAATCATTGGAAACATACTCATTGATATTATCATGATCATTTTAGACAGACATGTCTGAGAGATGTGGCTTTGGAAGAGGCAGTCTGTAGACGACCATCGGGTGTTCAGAGGCTATCACGACCCTGGTGTATGACAGTGTATGACGTAACTCGCCTCAGCACTCCACAGCGAACAGAACACATCGGGTCAGGAGTGGTCCATTGATGAACTGATCAACTGCAATGAGGCTGGGAACGAGGAACGGTCCGAGGTCTGGACTTTTCAAGAGGATCTCAGATCATCTCAGCTTGCTTCATATCTTGCCATGATCCCTTTTTTGAACCAGTTTGCAGAGCCTTACACCGAAGGTTATATGGTATATTTTGGCGGAATGTGTTCTTTTCTTTTTTCTTTGCATGAAGAAGTGCATGCGGATCCTCCGCCGTTGGACGTGGTGACAGAACACCAAGGAGTGGCGGCAGAACATGATGAACACCGATCCCAATTTCTTTGCTCGAACGGCCAGCCAGCTTAATGACATTCCTGTTTTTCCGATGCAAGCGCTTGCTGTTTTGCTTTGGGTTCCCTTGGCCCTATGATGCCCTAGGTCACATAGTTTTTGGAGTGGTAGGTTTGTCTCAAGTATTTTCAGAATGTCATGACTGGAGCATGAGCGAATGCTTTGACCATGGGTCTCGCTGCGTGTCGTGTTTGCGGAACATCCTCGTTTGTGCTGAGAGCTTCACCCAACATCCACCCCGTGTGGAGAAAGCCTTGCGTCGCTCTTGTGGACTCACGTCGCTCAGAGCTAAGGCAAGGACTCAGAAGCCGAGATATTTGTGGATAGGTCGGGGCGGCTTCCGGCGGCTTCCGGCGGCCGGGGCCGGTAGGGCAAGCAGATGCAAGCAATCAGCATCGCTCAGCATGGTTATGATTAGGTTTTATTAGATGATATTAGGGTGATTTGCATTGATTTGCTATGTTTGCTGAACCTTTTAAAGGCCAATCTGATGCTCTGCCAATGTTCACTTTGTCATGAAAGATGCGTAATTCGCTGGTTCTCTGAGAGGTTGTAGTGACAGCCGGGTGGCGCCGGGAACCATTTGCGGCCCGAGAGCTCAGATGCGGCTCGAGAGCTCGTTTCTGCCGGCATGTGAATCAAAGAGATTTCTGGATGAATCAAGCGGTGGTTGGATCCATTCGGGACCATCGCACATTGGTTGCACATTGGTTGGAGGCCATCGCGATTTTGCACATTGGTTGGCCACTTGCAGAGAAGATGTAGGTTTGCCTTTTCAAAGCTCGGTACATTCAGGTCTTCCGCCGGGCACTCTCTTTGTGCACAGGAGCCGACGGGAAAAGGGAAGGAACGTGCGAAAAAGGAACATCGGATGAATTCTCCCGGTGACAAATAGAGCATGTGCTGGACCATGCTGGCACAAGTATTGCTTTTGGATGTCGGTCGACTGAAGGAATATTGCCAACCTGGTGAACAATGTGGATACGTCCGCTATGAGTGTGATCCAGTATGCGGTGGGCATTCTCCAGGCCGGGCAAAAACTGGCCAGTCAGCCAGATTGGGTGTTGAGCCACGGATATCCGTGATCTTAGAGTGAACATTGGGTGGTCAAGAACTAAGCTGGAGTTTTCCCGTTTTCTTTAGATTGTTTACTTCCCCGGACTCACAGATGTTGCCTTTTGGCGTACTTCTGTTGTTTGACATGACAAGACATAAGACTATGAAGAATGGCATTTATCATCTTTTTCCAGCCATCCAGGTCCATATAACATTGATAATCTTTGATAGTTAGTAGTACGGTTAGATTTCCAATACGAGGAGCTTAGCCAAATTTCCTTGAATATGTCAGCGGTTACGAATCATTTAGGATCCCCCCTTTGATCTGAGTAACAACAGAAGATGAATGTTCAAGCATCTCATTGAGTCTCCGTCATAGCCACAGCTGTAATGAGGCAGGCTTTGGTATATGCACTGTAGTCAAGTGCTGAAAATTGCTTGACAGACATAAAGGACATTGAGGAGCACATGTCACCACCAGGAGGATGTCTATCGAGACAAACGATCGGATAATCGATGGGACAGCAAAGAATTTTAGCCCAGAGGGATTTAGACTTAGACCCCTTAAATCCAGAGAGATCACCCTTTGGGAGATCAAGGGCATCGCTACTGGTGGCTAGAAGCTCGTAGTAGCAAAGGGCATTACTAGTAGTAGCTCCTCTCTCCTAGTAGCAAGCATTACTACTAGCTAGAAGCTACGAAGGTGACAAGATGTAACAAGTAATTCTTGACCCTTTGGGAGATCGGAGACCCCCACGGAGACCCCCACGGAGACCCCTTTCGAGGTGCAGCACATTGTGATTTGTGGCCACTATGACTGCGGTGGCATCAGCGCAGCTGTTCGAAACGTAGGGACGCTCGGTGACTGTTCCCGGGTGACTGGTTGACTCAACAGTTTTGGACAAGGCTTCGGAAGGAGAACAATTGCTAGCTCTTCAGGTTGATCATGGTTGATCAGACCGTAATTTGATGTAGATTGGTACATCACATTATATAAGAGTTGTATAGTTCTGCATTATGCCACACGCTTCTAGGCTGGAGGCCGTCGCTATTAGGTTGGAGGCCGTCGCTAATAGGTCGGAGGCCGTCGTTACTAGGTTGGAGACTGTCGCTATTGGGTTGAAGGCCATCGCTATTGGGTTGGAGGCGGTCGCTATCAGGTTGGAGGCCATCGCTATTAGCTTGGAGGCGATCGCTAGTAGGTTGGAGGCCATCGCCATTGGGTTGGAGGCCGTCGCTATTAGGTTGGAGGCCATCGCTATTAGCTTGGAGGCCATCGCTAGTAGGTTGGAGGCCATCGCTATTAGGTTGGAGGCCATCACTATTAGGTTGGAGGCCATCGCATGGGTTTGCTCAAGGTGATGTTACATTATTTCTCTATGGTTAAATCCTTTTCTGGTGAAAATATGTTGTTTTCAGTGTTGTTTTCCAGTCCTTAAGCAAATCCAAGATTAGGATGGAGGCCATTGCTATTAGGTTGGAGGCAATCGCTATTAGGTTGGAGGCCATCGCTATTAGGTTGGAGGCCATGGCTACCAGTTTTGAGGGCATCGCTACTAGGTTGGAGGAGGCCATCGCTACTAGAAACAAAAAGAAACGACAAAAAGAAGGATGAAAGACTTGGTCGATCTTGTTTCGAGGATTGATCCATGGTTGTCCAAGTTCCTTAGTAGCATCGAACTTTGTCGAAGAAGAAACAATGTTTTTCATATTTCTCCCTTGAGTCTTACTGAGCGGTATAGAAGAGATAGTAGATATATAACTATAAAACAGTCACGAAGCCAGCCGATAGGCTAGGCTGAAGTTGGGTTGGGCGAACGAAGTGAGTAAAGGGGGTGTGGGAGGGGTGGTCGCACACGGGCCAATTTCAGAGGGCTAGCCCAGACAGAGCCTGGTGGGGGAGAGCGAAACAAATGCAGGCACGATTGGGATTGAAAATGGATGGTTTTTGGGGTGTTGTGATGCAAGTGATGTGATCGACGGCAAATAGTGCATCATTGGCATCATGAGAGGCTCAGGAGGCAATGTAAGCCGTC